CTGGATTTTTGCCTCTCTCCAGGTAGTCCTTCTTAATCCGCTCGCAAATGACCATGCCCAGGTCGGGCTCGCCCGCGGTCGCATATTTCGGGCTGATGGACCCGGTGTTCTTGAACTCGAGCCTTGCCTGCGCCATGGCCTTGACGAAGCTCAGGTTGACCTCTTGCGTGACCTTGCAGTGATCCACCGCCTTTGACATCAGATCCGACAGCCGCGGGTGGACGTGGCGTCCGGTGCACCCGCTCTGGCTGTGTTCCATGACCGACCAGAAGAGGCGGCCTGCAAAGGTGTCTGCGCCGGAGCCTATGTAGGGCATGATGTCTTCCGGGGGGAGGGATACTCTCATGTAGTGGGCGGGATCAACCCACATGCCGCAGTCCAGACGGCTGGGGGTAGACGGGGAGGCAATCCCCTGGTACCGGTTCTGCACCGTGCCCCTCGTCGCAAGGTCGAAGACGACATCCTCTTTGGCAGTTTCTGGCTGGCTCGATCCGTCCTTCTCTGAATCTGTTTGGGCCTGTTGCTGGTGCCGAAGGGGCACTTTGGTGTCGAGTCCGGCGGCGTCAGCGAGGTAATTGATTGCGGCGAGAACTTCGGGGCACTCTTCTCCCGTAGCGACCCCGACTAGCCTTTCGATGCCCTGTACCAACTGAAGATTCCGCTCCTCCAATTCATTGGACCGCTTGGCTTTGCGTTGGCGGAATGCGGCTTGCGCTCGCCGGCCACGTTCTCGGCGGCGCTGGAGATGAACCGGGTCAGTGGGACGGAGCAAACAGGCGGGAGTTGGACCGGTTACCTCAAGTTCAGCCTCTGCGCTTCCCATTTGTGCCCCTGCGGCAGCACCAATCTCTGAAATGGTAATTGAGGTGATGGTATGTGATGTTACGTGATGTTAGCTGATGAGAGGAAGAGTGAGCAGGCGATTGCCCCGGGCGAGTGAGCGAATGCTGGAGGTTTTAGTGGGACGGTCGGGGCCATTATTCGGCCGGCAGTCACGTAACCGCCGGACTCGAGCCACCCACGAAGAGCTGCAACCAGTTACGTGATTTGAGCACTCGAGTTGAACTGGACTTGCGGCTTTCTAATATACAGATTACAAAGCGACATGTTGATTTATAACTGACAGCAATACTGATAGTATAAAAAGGATATTCAATATCAACAATGGTCTGCCATTCATCATCCTGAACAACTCAACACAGATTTGATAACATTGATAAAACGGCAACGCCTACTAAAACCGATACCGCAAACATGGTCAAAATTGCTCTTGCTCCGGCGACAAGCCGTGAGTTTAATCTGAGTCGCTCGAACGCTATTGGATGTATTTCTAACCTTATTTCGCTCCAGAGCTCTCCAAGGAAATCCTCGACTCCCTCGTGGCTACAGGAAAGCACGAGGTCATCGGGCTGGTCCGCAAGGTAAATCTGGCTGACCCCGGCAACAAGAAGCATGAAAGTTGACTTGAAAACAACAGGATCCCAGCACCCTCCCACAGTACCCGGGAGTCACCTGGGTCCAAACAGACTTCCAGGACGAGGCTGAGCTGGTTAGGCTTCTCAGCGGCGTCCACACAGTCTTGTGCTTCATTGCTGTCCACTTGGATCCAGGAAACGAGACACAGAAAAGACTCATCGATGCTTCTATCAAGGCTGGGGTGAGCCGCTTTGCACCGTCAGAGTGGTCTAGGTAAGAGAATGCATGCCCTCTGTACATGAGGTTTGCTCTGTGGACTATCCACTGACCCGGAATAGTGGAGTGAAACTAGAAAGCTTCCCCGATACGTTGTCTTGGTATGCTGGAAAGCTCGAGGTGAAGAATTACCTGGAATCTATCAACAAGGATAAGAAGGTAGGTGTCCAGACTTGCAAAGTTTTGACAACATGGCCTTCGTATAAGTGCTGACAGCGACAAGGTGATTGAATATTGCAGGTTCCAGCCGGGAGGATTCTTGAACTATCTTGCGCACCCTCACAGTATATCTAAGCATATCACTACCATACCTCTCAACATCAATATCGAGAAGCGACACGCCCTTCTCGAAGAGGGCTCTCTGGATGCCCACATGACCTTTACGACCACAAAGGATATTGCCAATGTGGTGGCCCGTGCCGTGGAGTACGAAGGTGAATGGCCCACGGTTGGGGGCATCCGTGGAAACCGACACACTCTACGAGAGCTTGTGGAGATTGGCGAGAAGGTTCGAGGTGAGTTCTCATCCATTACTACTAGATTGATCATTGCCTCTCTCTGACCGAACACTGACTCCGTGTCCACAGGCAAGCCGTTTACTAAGGAATGGCTGAAGTCAGAAGATCTGGATGCTGGCTTGCTGAAAACGGAGAACTACACCCGCTTGGATCTTCCTTCTACTCCTGTAGACCAGATCGACGCATTTTCCAAGGTGGCAACGATTGGAGTCCTGAGAGCCATCAGCCGTGGCGTCTGGGATGTTTCAGACGAATGGAACAAACTTTTGCCCGACTATGAATTCGCCAAGACGGATGAAATTCTCTTGGGACTCTGGAAGGGACAGTAGATTGGTTATCTGAAGCCATGTTCAAATTTTAATTATTGTCGGTGGACTCATATTCATTGTTCAATATTAGAGTACCAAACTACCTGTCAGCTTATTTCTTTACTACATTTGTGTTCATGTAACAGAAGCTCTTCCGAAGTGACAGTCAAACATCATTAAATTTTCGTCGAATATTGAGACGCCTGTCCACAAGACTGAGACCCTGAGCAAACACACTCGAGGTCTTAGACCTGTCCTCCTGTCACGTCTCAAAACATCGGTGCTTCGACCAGGCTATTGTTACATGATTGTAGGAGGTCTCAATCAGTGATTCACATCCAATTATATAAGCTCGCCAAAATATTCCTAGTTTGCGCCGCTTCATTATCTCCTCTCCGAGGATCTTCTCTCATACAATGTACCTTCTTCCCAATCCAAATCCAAATCGGATAGGAAACTAGATTGTATCAGTTAATATCCCCGTGAGATGCTCGAACAGGGCTTTGTGATGGAACCTATTCATGACGTTGCAGATGAAAACTGCCCAAACAAACACCAGAACATCCTAATTCAGCTTGGGACGAAAGTGAAAACTAACGAGGGTTCTCCTAAAGAATCCAATGAATCTCCCTTCTCTTCTCCATCTATTACCTCTGATCAGCAAACCTACCCCGAAGGTGGCCTGCAAGCGTGGCTAGTGGTTTTCGGCGCATTCTGTGCCTTGGGCGCCGTCTTTGGCATCATCAACACAAGCGCCGTTTTCGAGTCGCATCTCAAGGAACACCAGCTTAGTGAATATAGCGAATCCCAGATCGGGTGGATATTTAGCCTATATCTCTTCCTAGTGTTCTTCATTGGGATCCAGGTCGGACCCATCTTCGATGCATACGGACCACGCCTCCTTGTGCTCACAGGGAGTCTGCTAATGGTGGCAAGCCTGATGCTCCTGAGCATCTCGACAGGTTGGAACTACCTCAAGTTTGACTTCTATCTCGAAACTCGGGCTGACTCTTGAGCAAACAGAATACTATCAGATTATCATGACCTATTCTGTCATGGGGGGTCTGGGCGGAGCACTCCTCTACTGCCCGGCGTACGGTGCAATAGCCCATTTCTTCAATGCCAAGCGAGGCCTTGCAACTGGCATTGCGACGACCGCTGGAGGGATTGGGGGGATCGTATTCCCCCTTATGCTCCAGCCCCTCTTGGGAAAGGACGGAGTTGGCTTCGCCTGGAGCTGCCGTATCCTGGGCTTTGTGATCCTGTTTCTCTGCGTCATCGCTAACCTTTTCATCCGAAACCGTCTCAGTTCTGAACGCAGACCAAAGAAATGCTCCGTCTGGCCGGATTTCAGCATCCTTCGCCATCGAGGATTTGCCTGCGCAGCTGTCGGAGTGTTCTTTACAGAGTGGGGACTGTTCGTGCCTCTGACCTACATCATCTCCTATGCCCAGAGCCATGGAAACGGAGGTATAGAGAGCTCCATCTTGCTTGCATCTCTTAATGCCGGGTCTGTTCTGGGACGCTTCCTCCCAGGATTGCTGGCTGATTACGTCGGCCGGTTCAACGTTATAATTGGTAGCCTTTCACTATGTGTCATCACCCTTCTGGGTATCTGGCTTCCGAGTGGTAGCTCCAAGTCTTTGCTTTTCGCGTTCTGTATATTATTTGGATTCGCAAGCGGAAGTAATCTGGGCCTGATCCCCGTGTGTATTGGACAGTTTTGCGACTGTCGCAATTATGGACGGTACATCACAGTAGCAAACATGATTGCTAGTTTTGGCACGCTGACGAGTGTTCCAATCGGAGGGGCCATTCTTGGCTTGGGTGGGAGTACGGGTTGGACGGGGCTTATTCTCTTCTCGGCTATTGCGTACATGATGGCACTGTCTTGCTTTGTCTGCGCTAGGGTTTCTTCGACTGGATGGAAGTTATGGAGGAGATTCTGAAAGGTTTGAAAAAGGGAGAAGCACAAAAGGGATCTTCCTGTTTTTATTTCTCTCGAAACCGGCTTCTGTCGTCACAGTCAGCTGCGGATTCTCCGCGCGGCATAGATCCCTTCGCTCCCTCATTGGCCTACGATAACCCATTGATTGAATTTTTCTTCTCGACCTCTATTATGTTTCAACTAGAGTTTAAGCTCATGTGTATTAAGATTGACCAAATCATCTGTCCTTAATTAAAGAAAATCACTGTATTCGGCTGTTGATCATGTTTAGAATGGGGCTCAAGAGCTTGCATTTAGGCTAACTTGAATATTTCTGTCATCTCTTTCTTCCTTCTTTGGGTTTCGTATTGTAGTCTTTAGAGAGAGAGTGTGTGTATTTCTGGTATGTTTCTTCCGCAATTTTTAATCCGAAAGTCTCTATTTATTATTGTAAGAAGTCCCAGACTGCTGTTGCATGTACTTTTGTTACATGATGAAATTCTCTGATGGAAGCTGATTCGTTTACCCCAGCCACTTTCTCATGTTAGCTTCTAACTATTCAGAAAATGGGGCAGGATTTGAGTGGTTGGTTGCTGTAACAACTTGAATGAGACTTACTCCCGAACGGACTGCAACCGTATACAAAAGCAGGTACGCTGGCGTACCGATAGTGCTTGCAATCCGTAGCCCCCATAGATGGTATGGCTGTGGTACGATCCCCAGGTTCTAAAGAGTCTGCATTCTTGGCTAGAAGTCGAACCATTGGATGACTCAGATGCGAGTAACTGGGTGGATTACTTGCGGCTTCTTGTACCTTGATCTCAATCGTGGCATTTTCATGCTGGAGAATGATAGAATCGATCACTGCCATTACATCCTCTGCAACCAGCCCGATAGGTAGCCGGATGTCAAGCTCGAAGAGGCAAGTGTCCGGGATCATATTGACCTTCAGCCCGCCTCCGATCGTACCTATATTGACAGTTGGACGGGCAATGATGGTCGATGTATCCTTACCCATTACCTTGTCGACGACTGCCAAGACCTCTGGGTTGGCCATGTGAGCCGCTATCTCTGAAGGCATCTCAAAGTCCATCGACTCGACTTGGTCTATAACCTTGTGTACGAAGCCCACAGTCTCGCGGATGGCCCCTTTACTACTTCATCTTAGCATGATTTTATCCAGAATAACTTTGACGAATGCGTCATGGAACAAGATAGAGAAGATGGGAAAAGGGACAATCCAAAGCACAAACCTCAAGTTCAAATACGCTCCGTGGGCGCCCTTAGTTCGGACTGAGCCTGATAATCTCAAAGTACCCTTTTCAGAGAACCGTATCGTCTTTCCAGACGGCTCTGCACTAAGCATAAGATCACCCTTGCGTCTTTCTGGGTCATTTTCTATGAGATACTTGGTACCCCATCTCCCACCGGTCTCTTCATCCGATACGGCGCAGAACGAAACGCTTCCCTTGAGATGCTCCCTTCTCGCATACAGGTGAGCATATGCAACAATTAGAGAAGCAGTGCCGGATTTCATGTCTACAACGCCTCTGCCGTGGATACGGTCGCCCTCGATGTCACCAGACCAAGGGTCTCGGGTCCAGCCGGCGTCGGGGTCTCCCACCGGGAAAACGTCAATATGCCCATTGAGCACGACGCGCGGCCCATCACCTCTGCCGCCTTGAAACTCGGCTACAAGATTCGGCTTGCCCGCCTGGGGCGTGACAAGTGTATAAGGGATATTTTTGGTCGCAAGGTATTCGCCCAGGACGGCGGCAGCGACCTCGGTGTCGCCAGGGGGGTTGGGTGATGCAGCTTGTATGAATCGCTGTAGCAATTGAGTCTGGCTATCTCTATCAGACTCAATCGCTTCGACTAAGGAGGATTTGGCACTCATAGTGGGCTATGCCTCGTGATCCAGACGCCGAGTATGAGAAAATCAAGGGGCGTTGACGACTAGAGGGGAATTAATATTGAATTCTCGAGATACTTTACCCCGCCCCCCCTGAATCAAAAGAAGTAAATCCCGCGATGATTACAAGTCCGACAGTATGAAAGAAGGCCTTGTTAAGTTCACCGAGTGACTCACACCGACGAAGACGTCATATCCACGATGCATGGTGCCGCCGACAACGGGCCTTTTTCTGCCATGAACCAAATCATGCTTTGATTGGAGACGCCGCACGAAATTTTTATGATTGTGCAAATGATGTATCCCCTTTCTGCCTGTTGGAATCTCACGTTTTCTATTCAGTTCCTCTATAAGTCGTAGCTAGCAACTTTGAGATAAATCTATCATGCCTTGAGTTATTGGTCTCCTACCAGCCTTTGTAGGCCTGCTCCACGGATGGGCGTGCCACGAGACGTTGCTGCCAGGCGACATAGTTCGGGTACTTCTTCTCAACCTCATATTTATCCCAAACGTTGGCCTTGAGTATCGGGTGGCCCTCAATTACCCTGTTCCAAGGGATAAAGGACAGATCGGCATATGTACTACAAGGATAGTTTTGTGAGCATTAGGTGTCCATCCTTCAAGTGACGAAGATGATCCATGTTCTTTTCAACTTACAACTTATCGCCAACAAGGTACTCCTTGCCTTTCAGGATGTTGTCGAGCACTTGCACGACGCGGACAATCTGCTCGTTGTAGCGCTGCTTGGCGACAGGAATATCTTCCTCATATCTATGGAACCACATTGACTGTCCGTAGTAGGGGCCCTGTGAATTGAATTGAGAACCTGTTAGTCTCGGGCTGATATGTGGATTACTCTGGGTCAGTGCATAAGTCACATACCTGGCCCGACATCTGGAAGTGGAGGTACTGCTTGAGCTGCCATTTGCCCGCGACATCGCTCACTGTGAGCTTGCCTTGCTTGTCATATGTCTCAACCAGGTACTCAACAATGGCCCCGGATTCCCAGAGCGTAATATTCGTGTTGGGATCAACAATGGCAGGCACCCGCCCATTGGGATTGATGGCGGCAAACCATTCCTCCTTTGGGTCTTTCACTACAATGGTCTTGTATGGAACAGAGAGCTCCTCAGCCGCAATGATGACCTTGTATGGATTCGGTCCAGCCTCTAGGACAGGGGGGATTAGTCCCAATTGATCAACTGATATGTACTGAGGGGGGATTTACCGTGGACATAGACTGTGATGGGCTGTAACTCGGACATGTTTGGATTTCAGGACAAGGCTTGGGTTACTGTTGCAAAATAAAATGGGACGTTAAATTACCTTCCTTCAATTCCTTTATATATCAGGGGAGAATTGCCTTGGCTGGGATCGTGGATCTTGCTGATCTGTAATCCTTCTCTAGCTTCGCTCTTTTCGGCGGCCGAATCTGAGCGGCGCAGCATCCACCTGCCATTGCAAGCTACTTTACCTAATGTGGAACAGAGAGGGAATAATACGACGTAGTATTACTGTGATGAGCTGTGACCTGAAGGAAGCAGGACGAAGCCAGTCCGCGGTGGTCAAGCGGAGCACAGGTGAAGATCGCGGGGCCACAGCCAATGGAATTGAGACAGCTACAAGCTATTACCTGCAATAGCTTGCGGGCACGTCTCGGTCCCGGGCAGAGCCATTATTATGCAAAGAAGAGGGTGTTTCGTTGGGGGAAATACGCTATTGCGACTTGCCGTTGCAGTCGCGTCAATGCGGCGTGTCTCATTTTCCCAATTGGAGCCGTAGCTACTACACCACTTCCCTTCCCCAGGAGCCAATATGGCTGGATAATCGGCACGAAGAAACGAGTTCGGTTTACGCCTCATGCAACGGTGCATAAGACTTTCACGCCAGTCCGCCGCTAAATAACCCCCCAGGGCCTCGATCCCTTCCCGCTTGTATTATATAACATCATTGCTCGCTGCTAGTTTGCAATTGAACTTGTTGGCTTTCATCATAGTATCCTTGTCCCTGTCACGACGCTACTACTCACATCATACATACCAAAGACGTCGCCCTGTAACGATCTCCTTGCAGCCTTTATCGACCATGATCATGCTCAAGAGCCTCATCGGGTTTGGTCTGATCACGGCTGCTTCCGCTAAATACCCCGAGAATCCAGGATGTGGCGACATCAATGTCCTATACACGTACGTCCCAAGTCAATGCCACCCTCCCCGATCTCTTGAATCATCCGAAGCTAAACAGTATATGGTCTCAGCGGACTCCCTGCGTACCACCCATATGTGGTTGAGCAGGGTTGGGACCCAAGTATGGTAGATGCTAGTATTCGCAGTGATACACAAAACCTGATCAACGCGGGTTACAACACTCGCAGTATGTGGAATCTGAATACATCCCTTTCAGAAAGGAACCAGCTAATAAATCAGGCAGTTGTTCTCATGGGCCCTGAGGAAGACATTAGCCAAATGGAGGCCCGATTCAAGGACGTGGAATTTCATGTCACAGGAATCGGCTACGGCATGCGGCCTTCCAAGATCCCCGAGGTCATCACTCGCTTTGAGGGTGAGCATATGTATTCGGATTATACACAAGTTTCGCAAGATTGCTGACCGGTGCAGACAACGTATTTCTCTTCAACCGACTGGTCCCTGACACACCCACCGTATACAACTACAACCCGAACACTTTTCTGTGGTCTGTTGAGCGCCGCTTCCCTATCAAGGAGGACTGCTCAAAGAAGCCCGGCAAGGACCTGGTAAGGAATCTGAGCTTTCATCTCCACTGAGTCCCCCGCTGGGCGTGCCATATTAACACTTTTATGCTAGGGATATGTAGAAATCTGCGACGATAGGTGTGAGCTGACCAAGACCTCCTGGAATCTGCGAAAAGCAGCCCTGAACAAGGATAAGGATGGTGCTCTCTTCAACCAGGCAGTCGAGATGAACCAGCTGTTTGGGAAGGTATGAGCGTGATCTCACATCGCACGGTCGCATCGCCCAACTGTGGGAATCGGCATCTGGAACGAGCATTCTGAGAATATTTTGTGAGCGTCGAAGATTTATTATGAAAAATTAAGCTTTTGTTGAAACTACAAGACAATGGAAGTGAAAGCCTGAAGAACAGCCGGGCACTGCTACCAATGGCGGGCGCTATAGCTTCCATCTCATGACCCAATTAAGAAGCGCCCAACTATGAAGAAAAGCAGGTCTGTGTTATATTTATTCGCATGTTGTGACCTTGTACTCGACCGTCGAATTGCCCGTTCCGGGAATCTTGGGCTTGAAGTCGATGTAAACCAGCTGGTTGCGGGCATTGGTCAGCATTGAGTCAAGGGATGTGGTAGAAGGGGGTATTGAATGCGCGATTACCTCTCCCTTCTCGGGCTTCCAGTCTCCATCAGTGTCCGAGAAGTGTACAATCTCGTTTGATCCGGCATCACGGACTTCGGCCGTGGTGTGCGAGAATGTCCCCTCGGTGCTCCATTTGAAGTGATAGCAGGTGGACTTGGTCACGAGAAAAGGGTCGGAGCACCTGCGGTTGCCGTCGGCATCAATGCATTTCTCAACAGCGAAGTCTAGGACCTTGCCCTCGCTCACGGTCGAAGCTGCCACGCATGGGTTAGTATAAAGTCTGGGGGGGCTGGAATGAAGGACGTGAAGACGTACGCTCAGTCAATGTGCCAGTCAGCGCCAAGCCGGCGGTCAGCACGCTCTGCGCAGTAGGGATATACATGTTCGTTTGGTGTGGTGGTTCCAAGGTGTAGAATCAATTTTAGTGAAATGTGATATTCAGGAACAGAGGATTGAGTTGAGACCAAGGCACATTCTGGGGTAGGGGATGCATGCTTTTGTATGTTTTGATCGATTGATGCACACGTCATAGATCGCGGCATACTAACGTCATCCGGCGGTGACCTCAAACCCAATATCCGCCCTTCGGCACAAATTCGCGTTTTTGCATAAACTCTAGATTCTGAAATTGTTTGACAACTATGGTGTGTCTATGAGACTCGTAAATTCATGCAGAAAGCGAAAGAAGAGCAGTGGTCCAGGAGTCGGCGCGTAGTCCATCTTACATCCTTACCGTAGAGAGCTGATATGGCGCATCACAAGCCCTCGTAATGCGCCACAAACACCAGAAAAATTCTGTGAGAGTCACCAATCACGCAAAGAATAAACTAGAAAGAGACGATTGGGAAATTAATCAATTAATCATGGTGGTTGTTGGTAGAGGGCTCAGTTCTGTTTGGTCTCAATCATCAATGTGGGCTACCCTACACGCTAGGAGATCTCTGCCTTTCACATGAAGCTACGGGTTGTGATATTTTATATGACATAAGCTTTGGTAGCTGGTATCCGTTGGGGAATATTCCATACCGGATTAGATGTCATGGGGGACGATATATTCGAAATAAATGGGACAAAATGCCAATTGCGGGTGAATAAACAAAAAGCCGGGAAAATCGAGAGCCAAATGCAAAAAGGATAACCACATCGCAACCCAAGTCAAATCTACGATAGCTGTAGTTGAATATGTCAATATTAAAACATATGGAGACTAAAAAAGGCAGAGTGAATGAAGGAAAGTTGATAGTTACAACGAAAGGAAATAAACCATAAGTAGGGAACGATTAGTCTGTACTCCCCCAACGAAATCGGTATTCATCCTACGCCGTCATTGACTTGACAAGCTTCTCTGCATCTGCGAATTCCAGTTCCTTCAATGTCTCATCCCAGAGTCTTTCCTCACTTGCCTTGCCCTCAGATGTGTACATTAAAGGGTTGAAACTAGACTCATATATTAGAAGACACTTATACTCAGCTTTAAATCGAACAAAACTTACGGGTATATCTCTGAGTTCATGAGATATCCGCCATGGCTCTCCGGGCCCTTAACCGCCACTGCATCCAAGTAAAGCCATGCAGCCTGCTCTGGCGTTCGGGCGGTCAACTTTTTGATGGTACCGAACATTACACTCAAGCCTCCGGAGAAACTGCGATGCAAATCGGAACCACTGGTAAATCCAGGATCCACAGTGTTGATGATCACATCTTCTGGGCGCACCAATTCGCTGAGTTTATCGGTGAGCATTACAACAAGCATCTTCGATACCGCATAGCGGGTATAATAAAGGCCATAATACTCCTGGTCATCAAATGATGGGAGGAGCGGCACCGCGTCCTGGCTTGGGAATGTGTTGGTGATAGCAACGTTTGAAGAAGCGATCATGAGGCGTCCAGGATGCTCCGTGGAGCTCTTGGCTTTCAAAAGCGGGAGAAACAATATCGCAAGCAGCGCAGTTGAGAGGTAGTTGACTTGGAGGGTCTCCTCGTGGCCAGTGGGACTGATTTTCCATTGAGAGTTAAACACCGCCGCATTAAGAATAACGATATCAAGACTGGATAGGGCGGAAGCACTTCGAGAAGCAAAGTCTTGAATGGACTTGTAAGAGTTCATGTCCAGGGGCCAAACATCGATCACGGCTTTGGGGTGAGACTTTCGGAGTATGGAAGCTTCATTCTCCGCTTTAGCCGTATTTCGTACCCCCATGACTAGGTGAGAGAGACCGCGTTTCAACATCTGGCGGCAGGTTTCAAGACCTATTCCCACATTGCTGCCAGTGATGATGGCTGTTTGGCCTGCAAATGAAACGGAAGCAGGGGGTGGTTTGCTTTTGGTCAAAATCTGAGCCTTGACAAAAACACCTAGATCGGAGTATTTTCGAGGTTGAAGTGCTCTAGACGCCATTTTTAAGAGCGTGAGGGCTTATCGAGAAAAGATGTGGGTATTTCGTTTCGTTCTTTTCGAGCCTGTTCCTGACGATGAGAGATCATATCATGGAGAGAAGGTTTTGAGACGAGCTCTCATGAATTTATAGTTTCTTTTATCCCAAAACCACATTCATTCCGTACATCTCAGCTATCCTAATGTGTCCAACAATGTGGTTGTGCTCTTTTTCGACGGCATGGCTATCCCCCGAAGTCCCGGAGCCTGCCCAAAACAAGGGAACAATATGGCTAACCCTGGGCAACACTCCTGGCCATTTAAGATATGATACCTCCACCAAGATCTGTTTCTTGGCGTCATGGAACCGAAAGAGGAAATCAATCTGGTCGTGGCGTCAGATGATTAATAATTAAATCGGGGCCACAACACATTGCCTCCAGCTCATCTTGGGTGCCCTGCCTCTTTCACATTCCCTCCTTCAGGAGTAACCACAGCGTTTGCCAAAATGAAGAAGTTTGCCTTCGTCAGTGTGGATAATCGCGGCAAAGCAACGGACACCCTGCAGGTCCGGAGTCACTGCATGAGGGGCAAGAACCGGCGCGAAGATTCCCGGCGCTCACGGAGAGCACTCCGACAACGCGAGGCTGAAATCGCGGCTCAAACCGCTATCAACCAAATACCGAACGACAAACTAGGTCTTTCAAGCAAGAATATCTGGGAAAGACAAAATATGCCATATCAACCTATCTTAGACTATAAATTGCTACCTGATAGCTTGAGCCAAGGCTCCGTGGACCTCCTGTATCAATGTATGTCGAATGCTGCTCGGGGTAGAGATAATGAACTAACAATTATGGTACAGATGGCCGGCTTAAGGAAGCCATCTACCCTATTGATAATTGCGTCGAGTTTGAGATTATTCAAGACGACTACATTGGGTGGTTTACCACGGAGTCAGCATTTGTTCAGTCCATCCTCTTTATGGGATCAGCACTCCAGGACCTCGCGGTGCAAAGAACTCTAACTCGCACGTCGCTGTTTCATCTCAGGAAAACATTGTCTCTGCTAAACGATGCTTTGTCCAACCGACAAGAATATCTCAATGATGCACTTCTCTATACCGTTTTCAACCTCTCACTCATTGCTACTATCATCGGCGAGGATGAAGCATTCAATATCCATCTTTCTGGAATAAGGAAGCTTATGCAGCTGAGGAATCAACAAACCAGGGAGAGAATCAACAGCAGGCTGGGGTTTAAAATAAGTCGGTTGGAGCTTTCCGCATATACAAGCACGGGTACCTTACCACCTTTACCCATCGGGCCACTTTGTTGGCAATCCTGCTACCGCAATACCACCTCAAGTCCGGACGAAACCTTGTCTCTCAGGGCTGCGATAGTCGATAATATCCAGTTGCGTACGATCCTTTACGACCTTAGACACCTAGCCGATCGTATCAATTGGAAGTATGTTGGCGCTAGACGTTTGACTGGAGTTGAATTCCAAGGTTCTATATCCTCGATCCAGTCGCGCCTCTTGCGTCTTACAGTAGACCCTGAGGACATAGAAAGTGAATGTATGCGATTAGGAATGCTGGCATTTCTATCGACCACTCTTCATGTCCCAGGCAAGATACTCCCCAGTGCATATCTAGCCACCCAGCTGAAAAAGCTTTGCGGAGAGATTGCTGTGTCGGGAACTAGCAGCAGATACATGGTCTTATGGCTGCTCATCGTGGGATCTATTTCGGTATTCGCACCTGATGAGCCATGGATTCGTGCGAGGTGGGCGGAAGTGTCGGATGTCGATCTTGTTTGGGAAGAGCTGGAGTTACATTTGCGCGATATTCTATGGATCGACTGCATACACGGAGAACCGGCAAGGAAGGCATTTGCAATGATCACCAATGTTCGATCAAGTACCTTAACAGTAATGTAGTGGGTCGGGGCTTCGGAGGGTTGGAGAGTACCAATGCATGATAAACTCAATGTACATCTATTTATCCATGTGATCACGGTTCTCGGCATTATCCAATAGCGCGACCGGCATTAAATCGGTTTGGTATCCCCGCGTGGTAGTTCAAGGCAGCTGGCCATCTTCATGTAGGAGATCTGGACTGCCGATTGTTAATCTCACCATCATTATTGGCCAAGGCCTATAATCAGATAGTCCAACGACGTTTGACTATAAAGGCACGGTACTGATCTAGAGTCAGGACTTATGGTAGTTAGTAGTTGCATTTATCACAGGTGAATGTAAATTTTTCTTCATAAAATTGACTTTTTAGTTGAGAATCGCATTATGACATCTCAGTCTAACCACAGCACCAACTGCTACCAACACCTCGATCAAAGGAAGGCACAAGTATAATGCCATCGTGATGACACTGGGATCCCTCATCATGATGCTACACCCCCAGTATCATCGACAGTTGCAGCTGCCGGATATGGATAACCGGCACATGATGCTTCAACTTTCTTCCGGGTGCATTGCGACCATATATCCTCTATATGGATCATCGAGGCCGTGTTGGAACAAAGCCTACCAGCTTTACGTTGCAGTGGCTGTCAATTTTGGCCCACTATGTGCGGAATATCGGCACTCCTTCGTAAAAGTGCGAGGTCATACCCCGAGCACAGTGCACATCGCCGGAGATATTGCAACTCTGGAATAGGAGGTTTGTTCGGGCTATTCGGCATTTTCCCTCCGACAAACAAAGCGAATGCAACCACTCAGTAGATCAATGTTTCGAATCCGTCATCTCACTGATCTTAAAGGGGATCATCTCGCCCACTTTAGATAATACCGAAGCCGATGCAACAGGGGTTAAAATATACATTGAGGGGTGCGGAACTGGGACGTGCTACGTCTTGATAGCATGAATTCGTTTATAAATAAGGATCCCTCAACATAGTTGGGGAGAGCTTTGCAGACATAAAAAAGACAAACGGAGAGACAATTTTCAGCCAACATCTTGCACTCAGCAAGGCCCATTCAACATGACCGCTAATCTCGCAGCCATTTTTGGTAAAGTTGGAGCACCGTTTCCATGGCCATGGCTTATTGTTGGATTTGTAAGTCTATGTGTTAAACGGAAAGACTCCTTGATCGTTAATTGTGCTTAGGTAGTTGTTGGACTCGGCTCTGTCCCAGTCTATAACTTATTCTTCCATCCTTTGAGAAAGATACCAGGGCCAAAGCTTTATGCAGCAACCCGGCTACCTTATACTAGGATGATAAGCTCTGGCCAGATGCATACCAGAGTCCTCGAGATGCATAAGAAATATGGTGACATAGTCAGAATTTCTCCTGATGAAGTTTCAGCCATCGGTGAGAATGTATGGGATGAGCTGGTCGGCCATCGCAAGCTCGGTGCTCCAGAAAACGGCAAAGACCCTCAGATATTCTCTGTTGTCGCAAAGAATAGTGTCCTCAACGCGAATCGTGAGGACCACGCGCGATTGAGACGAACTCTGTCGCATGGGTTCTCAGCATTGACTATCGAAGCGCAGGAACCAATTATCTCTAGCTACGTGGATCTCCTACTTCAACGACTCAAAGAGAATTCGGATAATGGAAAGAATGTCCTGGAGCTTACGTCGTGGTATAATTGGACGACTTTCGATATTATCGGAGATCTTGCGTTTGGTGAAAGCTTTAGGTGTCTTCAAGATAGCGACTATCACCCCTGGGTCAGCCTGATATTCAAACGCATCAGATCTAACTCTCTAGCAGTGTCCGCCAGGCGCTGGGGCTGGCTGTCCAAGGTTGTTCTCGCTTTTCTCGACCAGTCTGGAAGCCATGCAATTGGCGCTCATGCTCGGCTGGTGGAAGAAAAACTGCGCGCTCGAGCATCTATGGAGACGACCAGGCCAGATTACTATCATTCGATGACTTTCCAGGAAGATGACAAGGTAGGAACGAGATTCTGCTTATCTTCATTGGTATTTGGTGTTTACTTATCGATCTTAGAAATTCTCTCCTGCCGAACTTCGTGACAACGCCAGCACACTGATTATTGCCGGCTCGGAGACGACAGCCACAACATTGTCAGGCGTGACATATCTTCTGGGCAAACATCCAGACGTTTTGCATAAGCTGGCCCAGGAAGTCCGCACGAGTTTCCAACATGAGGATGAGATCACTATACGCGGCGTCCAAAAGTTGGATTACATGCTGGCCGTCTTGAACGAAGCCCTCCGCATGTATCCTCCAGTGCCTGGTGCCCTGCCGCGAAAAATGAACCCTGATGGCGGGTTCATCAGTGGCCATTGGGTGCCTGGTGGTGTAAGTCTAGAAGAAGATTGAGAGTATACAGACATAATGTTGCTGACCAGTGGTACTAGACGGTGATCGGGATTCATCACTACGCCTTTTATCGCAACCCCAACTACTATCAACTGCCCGATTCATTCATTCCTGAACGTTGGCAAGACGATCTACAGTTCAATAGCGACGCGAAAAAGGTGTTCCAACCCTTCTCATTCGGACCAAGAAACTGCATAGGAAAAAAGTATGTAAAACAAAAATCAACGGGACAGAGTAACCTTGAAACTAAAATTGTTGCAGCCTTGCATACGCAGAGATGCGACTGATTCTTGCGAGGATCATTTGGAATTTTGACATCCGCCTCGCAGTCGATAGCGAAGAGTGGATAGAAAGAAGTAAAGTGTTCTCACTTTGGTCCAAGCCTGATCTGAATGCCTATCTCGTGCCTGTGGTTCGAAACTGAGCACAGTTATTGCTAGTGGGAGAGTTGAATAAGATGTGGAACTCAGGTGGTTGAAAAGCTCCATTGAGCTCGGGCGGATCAGATTCAAGGGCCTGGGCTTTTTTTGTGTGAGGAGCACGGTTTTGTTCACCAGTTTGGCTAGATCACCTGTTCAAATTCGGTACATGCCTGTCTTATACACCATTGATGTGTCTCAGGATTAGCTCCGGCAGGTGACACATGAGTAACTGTCTTCTCTCGATCAATCCTGAACCTTCATGCTCGGAAGATGTGATGGTTACGCATGTTGACCATGTTTAGCTCTCGTGTAAAGATTTTGAAAAGATACAGTTTGTTTCTTTGACTATCAAGAGGTTTGCGGGACATACAGTTCGAAAGCAAGAATTCGGGACGGTTAAGACAACGGCAGGAAAGACATTCTTCTACCTAGTTAAGACTTGTTTGAGTCACCAAACTGATTCCCATGGACTTTGGTCCGGCCCTGAAGTGAGATACATCCTCCACGGCTGCCACACTTGCAACTGTCAATCGTGGGGAACCCGCAGATACTGGCCATGCCTGGTTTTGGGCATGGATCCGGGAGCACTGCGTCGGCATTTGCACACATTGGATAATAGCCACAGCAGTTTCCAACGTTCCGTACCACGCAGTCGCTGTCCTCGGTACAGGCAAAATGGTCTGGGACGGTGATCTTGTCGGTGCTTTGTGATTCATCACGCGGTTGATTGCTGGTATCTGTGACGCGCATGCCCCCAGTTCTTTTGATTGGAGTATATCAGTACGGTGCTCATTTACCAGCTTGCTAGGGAAACTGAGGTCCATTACTTACAACTGCGGAGCAGCGTATGCACAAGCGGCGAGCGAGGTGACGGCAATAGTGAAAAAGCGCATTTTGATAATATGTTTCCAGAGAGACTAATGATGTTTGATTATCGTAAAGTAGGGTGGTGCTTGCCAGCGACCTTTATACTTGTTAGTGCCCTGCTTTTTGTACTTCTGAAAACTGGGGAATGCTCGTGATATGAGTTTGGGATCGCATATACGATTACCGGGCTAAGGTTTTTGTTCCTCCTTGGGCCCTGGAGCCGCTGATTCCGAGACACGGTTTCGCACGGGATATTGGCGAGGAATTTGAACCGTCCGGAGGCAAAAGATAGTGCCTTGACTTTACCTGACACTCGTTCCAGTGATGTCTTGGCGGCCCTGAATGCCGCTATCTCAAAAGATCCCACCTATAGTAGATGAAGAGGTCATAGCTGAGACCATGGTCCGATGTGAGAGTGAAGTTTATCTTGTCAATAGACAGCCTCATGGTCATTCTTTCACTTCGTTGGTTGGACGAGTACGACTTCAAGAAAGCTTCCGAACCGAAGTACTCGTATTTTGACCCGTTTAAGCATAAATGAAATGCGACTGATGTGAAGGAGATCGCTGGTGATGTATGATGACGGAAGATTGGGTGCTGAGGTGAGACCAACAACTGAAAACCATGTCCACTGGTCTTAGACAGCCCCAGACCAACCTCCTCTGCCAAGGCACGGCACCACGCAATCATGTGGGCTCAAATGAAAGCGTTTCCACGTTTGGATGGACCTTTTGGGCCAGTTCATTCGCCCGGCAGAGTATTTCGACTTTGACCATTTACAAGGAGCATATGGGGAACAAACTTCGGCCCCCCCGGGACCTATGAACATCCCCACGAAGCCTTAAACGGCTGTAATTTTCCCATGGCCCAGTTTCTCGATATCACTTCAAGTTCTTTTCATCTCACCATGCGTGAGTCGGTTGCTGGGGCATCTCACTCATGAATGTAAGCTTGATATCGAGGGTACATCGTTTCAACTCCGAGCTGTTAGTAAACGTTTTTCAACGACGATTCACTCGGACGTTACAAGGAATTAAGGTAGATGCTTTTCCTATGTCATGGAATGCTTCAAACTGTAAATGGGCCTTGGAACTGCCTAGGCGACTCCACAACCTCAAAATTCTGAACTCTTACGAACGAGATGGGTGCCTCTAAGTCCGACAGATTTCTGTCTCCTGGCGCTCTGAATCACAAGATCTAGCCATCAGACCAGCAGTGAGGCTGAGAAAAAGGTTCAGATAGCGCTGTGCTGTCATTCCCGCCCACCAAAGTCTTAGACTCATCCTTCAGAGCTTTCCTCCATTAGGAATTTAGAAGCTCTTGGCATATCCATCATATTGTTGGAAGGAATTGTGTCGTTGTGCTTACGAAACTTCGATCATAGCCCCGCAACAAGAGAAGACTCCTACCCCACACGCATCGCCTATCGGCGTTAGTGAAGAATGTATTACTGCAGTTAACTGAAGTGGCAAGAACTAAGAAGTTAATTGGACTTATAATAAGAGATTCGATGGCATGTGGCTCATACGGCATTTTACTGTGTACTTTCTGGTTGCAAACCAGAGTGTGAAAGCCAGCATAGATATCTTAAGTGAGAATACTACGTAATCATTGACACAAACATATCGGTGCTTGATTCTCGTTTTATATGAGCTACATAGTAAGTTCACACAGAAAACCTAGGCAAAGCTAATAACGTGCCAAAGATTGTGAGTCATTGTATTCTTCGCAGTCGCTAGAAGAGGGTTCCACGTGACTCATACGTTACATTCATAGAAAGTCTTGTTGAGAAGCTTTCATGTGGCTTTACTAATTCCGCATCTTGGGAGAAGGGAGAATTCCAGTTCGGCTATGTTTACTATTCCGAGACGTATTTTAAAACCCTACTTCAGAACGGACAATCTGACAAGTGACATACAACCTCTAGGAAACATGTTGGCCTACAGCGAATCTACATTTTGTATTAGTACTCATTGCCCTGCTGGGCTCACTTGTCCTAGTCAGTAATTCGAAAAAACTGTTTGTTCTTCCGTAAGAATTAGCCCCACCGAATCACTAGACTTCGTGTTGGAATGATTCAAAATAGTAAATTGTTGCCCGATGTCTATATGTCTATTACCCCAGTCAGAAAATGCCACTATGACTTGGTAAAAATATCACGGATCGGTTCTTGAATCCAAGTAGGCCAGGCCCTGAAACTTGACAGCATAATTTCGCTCTCAGGGAGAATCAACTCTCCGCTTCTTCTGCTCATGAGTTGGGCGACAATCTTGTCGGCAACATCCTCAGGCTCAAGAAGATGAAAACCATGTCTCTCAAGATCCTCGATATACTTTCCAATGCACGGCGTCCGGACGTAATGGGGATGGACAATTGTGGTAAGCACATTGGGAGCCTTGTATCTATGCCTCAGTTCAGTGCCTAGGGCCTCATGGAACGCGCGTGCTGCCGCTTTGCTACCGGCATAGTCGGCGATGCCCCCAAAACAGAAGAAGGAGGCCAAACTCGCAACAGTAACCACGTGGCCCTTGTTGGCCTGAATCATGCTCGGAAGAAACTCTCGGGTGGTGAACCAGTTGGCAAAGCAGTTGACTCCGAATATCTTTCTCAGGTATGCCTCGTCACACGCGAGTATGTTGTGGTGGACAGCAATGCCGGCATTATTCACAAGGATAGACGGCGAGCCAACCTCGTCTCGAATGGCTTCAGCCGCTGCGGAGACGGATGCGCCGTCAGATACATCACACTTGTAGAAGTGTACTCGAGGGTGGTCCATGAGCGGTTTGGGAAGTTGTTGAACGTCAATCACCGCAACGCGAGCACCTTTCTCCAGAAGTTTTTCAGCCAGCGACTTCCCGATCCCACTAGACCCTCCAGTGATTACAGCAATTTCATTGGGCCAGTCCCAGTTTGATGTAGGTCTGAAGGTCCAGGAATTCCGGGCCAACTCATTGAGCACCCTGTGTGCCCAGCGAAGGGCGCTCACCACAAACACACCACCAAGAGCCGCTCTAATCAGAGAGATATTTGCCGAAACGAGCGGAAGCGGAGGCACTGCCGTCGATAAGGCTCGAATAACCTGCTGCATCACATTGGGTGCACATGTTGTGGCTAGCAGAAGCGACCCTGACACCAGCGCTGACGCGGGAGCATGGCGCCACAGAACCATGGTCTGAAAAGGCGCTGTGAGTGCGACTTGCTGGTTGGGTTGTTATATACGGCAGTCGAAATGGAAGACGAACTGGAGCTGAAGGTGATGATGAGGACACACCGGGGCATTTAAGCAATTTGCGTCTGGAGATTACCAACGCGTCATGCGCTTTTCGGGCCAACGTGTTGCCATTTTGGGGATCAAATGCGATGAGGCAGGTCCTTGGCAGAGTGGCGGAGCCAATAAATTTGGCATAAGTCGTAAGATCCCTGGCATTCAACTGAATACCCCAGCTTCCATCTCAATGGGCATGTGTTCTACCCTGGTTAGCGACGACAAAAGGGACGGCTCGAGTGAGAAGAGTAACCTGGCGTGTAAGTAGAGTGCACTCGGGGTGAGAAAAGAAGGATACAAATTCCAACCAGACATTATAGGCTCTGAATACGGTTTGCTTTAGTAGAGTAGCACGAACCAACCGCCAAGCTTTGAGCCGAGTTCTTTCTGACCTTCTTTACTTTCAAGTAAATGACCACTGAAGAAACGGACTAGTCTTCTCGTCTTCCTTTCGTCTCTAGTCGGAAGGGTGGTCCGATCACGGCATATACTCGCTCTGAAAGGGGACCGGTATGGTACCCAAAGATGGGATAAGGAATCGGCTTGATAGATATGCTCCTCACGAAGCATGAACGTGCTCATGCCTCATATCGGACAAATTTAATCAAGATTTCCCCCGGGTTGTACAATTACCTCGTCCTATTGGTCTATGATTGATGTGTGCGGAACACATGGAAAAGCAAGGCGCATCCCAGCTCATGCATCCAGTCTCAAATTTCACATGCAAGATACGCTAAACGACTTCGTCTGCCTTTAATCTTTAGAAATATTCTTCGAACGGGAGGGGAAAAAATCTAGAAGGAAATATTAAGATGTCTGCTTGCGTTGTTCGGCTACGTAGATCAAATGTATCGATCTAACTACATGTAACCAAACCGATCGACCTTGTTGCACATCATCGGGGTTGGCCATGATAATGATTGGAAGTTGCAGGACAAGCCGGGCCCACAATGTAGCCACGGCGGTGAGAGCCGGAAGCTCTTTCGTCCGAGTGATATCTTGTGTCTGAGACAATAGTGTTGTCTTAGAAACTGGCCAGTGAAGAAGCGATTGAGTAAGCTGGAGGGGAGCTGATTTGCACCACACCACATAGGATTCCCCGCGTGGCTGCAGAACCAACATGCGGTTTTGGACGTAAATGGACAAGTCTTGCATACCGCCTTCGGTGATAATGTCGGAATTGGGTGTAGGGAAGTTTCGGGGAGAATTTGTTTAAGAGCAGAGCACGGAATCGAGCGCCCTCCTCACCCGTGAACACTGTCATTTCCGGGCTTTTTGCACCGCGCATTGGGATACACATCAAGAAATTACGGCCGGATTCTCTGGTCAAGATGTCTTTCATTAGTGGATTCCGCTCTTCGAAGCCTAAAGAGACCAGCGGCAATTCTTTGGGGCTGGTCAGGCGCATTTCCCTCCGTTACAAAGGCCCGCCCAGCTCCCCAAGCTTCCGCGGCGGTCGAGCCCCCAGGTAAGTCCACCCAGTTCCACCATAAGTTTAACGTATATTATGGGTTTGGTATTGATGATAGGACAGGCCTAATGACGTTTTCATTGCTGTGATGGGGGTCACGGGGTCTGGGAAAAGCTCCTTTATCGCATTATGCTCTGGCCAACCAGTTCGGATAGGACACAGCTTAGGCGCATGTCAGTGGGTGGTCATAGATTCTCAGAAGAAGAGGCTAATAAATTACCAGGTACTTCAACGGTGGATGTATATGCCTATGATATATCTCCGGATCAGACTGTCTACCTCATTGATAC